GAACATCCTCCTCTAACCCCCGCGGAAAAAACAAGGTTTCTGTTTTGTGTCGTGTATTTTTAAATTCATTTAATGAAGCATCAGACAGAAAATTTTCATTAAGTTATTTTTTTTGTAGAGTTCTGATTGAATTTCCCCGACGGACCTCACTTTTGATTGAGTGCGCAATTTGTTAATTCGATTCTAGTTTCTTTTTAACAATTTTAATCTCATTTAATTATTCAATTTGTGCATTGAGTGACGCGAAAGTTAAGTGATGTGCAATGCGCCTCCAATACGCATGTTTTATTAATTATATTTCCCTGTATAAATTAATACAAAAATCCATTGTGTGCATTTAATTATTTATACTAAATCTTTGGTATGTAATTTTTAGCCCTGCAATTTTCTAGAATTTTTCTCTCTCCCTGTCTATCTTTTTATTCATTTTGCGGGTAGCTGTTGCTATTTTTTTTTTTAATCTTTATCAAACATTTGTTTAGAGTTAATTATTTTATAATCGGGAAAAAAAGAAAAAAAAACCAAAAAAATGCGTGTGGAAAATTAGAGAAAATCCGCTTTGAGGTGTAAAAATTATAGGCGTGGCACACCATGTTTTTATTTAATTTTTGTATGTTAAAATATATTTTATTTTTTTTTATATTAAAATAATTTTTTTATGTTGTTACAGAAAGTTTTTAGAGGAATTTCATAAACAATTTCATTGTACAGGCAGATTTTTTTTCCTTCATTTCCCTCTTCCAGTATGGCTTAGCAGTAAAGGTTGGATTTCAGAGGATTTCTGGAAAAATTAATTATAAATAAATAATGCAAAAATAATAAAGAGCAATTTATAGACCACCTCCTGCCACACTCTTTAACAGCTATTTTTACAAATAATTCCCACACAAATACGAAAAACCCATTAAGCTTTTGGGAAATCCATGGTCGAATTGCTGTATTTTTCCCCATCATTTCCAAAGCTGTTAAGCATTAAGATAATTCCCATTTTATCTTTTCCCTAAAAGACACCCTGTATATATATGCATATAAATCTCTTTAAATTCAAGTGGGGAATTAAACCTCTTTCTATGGTTGTGAAATTGCATACAATTTTCATAGCTATTGTTGCAGGGGGCAGTGTTTTGGCTGCGGTTTTGCGTTTCGAGTGCGTGTGCACAGAAAAACGATTAAAATTTTAAATTTACACGCAATTCAGCAGTGAAAATGGTTGCCAGATAAAAGTGGAACTGGCCAGAGGGAGAGAGAGGGCCGATTGACCGAGCGGAAGTGGCGTTTATGATTTGGAACTAATTGCAACATGGCACGACCAATAAACACAGCGCAGGAACGCACAGCAGAGGGCAGAGAGAAGTGGGAAGTAGGGGAAGAAGTACTGTGGAAATTACGACTAGAAGATGCCCTCTAAGGGGAGAGGTTTCCAACAAAGATACACTCAAAGAGGGAAGAACATGGGAGGGCAGACCACATAGTTAGGTACCAAAGACTATACACTACCAAGAGGGACCTAAAAAGGGGATCTCTTGGGGTTTCAATCCTCTCCTTGCCTCGAACCATGGCCCCTCCACCTTATTGGCACGTCTATGCCTTGTTTAGTCGGTCCCCCGAGTCCAACAACAACAAACACAACTTTTGCAGAGGCTCAGGGCTCTCCACGTCTCAGAGCTTCCCTCTTCCTGTCACATACGTCCCCCGAATCGGCTACACCCTTCGCACTCCCCAGATACCGGGTATAAAAATTAGGTAGGTCCAGGGCAATGTCGAGATGGGGTACTCGGATGAACGGTGGGTGGAAATTTGGGTGCGGAAGCCATTCGGGGTAATTACAATTGCATTGCGGTTAACGGGCAAGGCACACGCTAAATCACTCAGAGAGAGGAGCAACAGGGGAGCAGCAGGGAGGAGATTTTCCAATTTTGAATAATGCAACTGCAACGCCGGAGGCCATGCCTCTCTCTGCCCTCTCTCTCTCTCTACGGGGGCCACTGTACCCCTCTAAGAAGAAGCCGTTGTGCTGCATAAATCAACAAACATACAAATACCCTGTCGGGCAAATTGGCGACTCCCGGAGACTTTGACCACATGCCCCAATCCAATCCGAAGTCCCACAGGGAAATCCCCAGCCTCAGCTGGTGCCTCTTCTGCAGAAGGTGTTCCCATACCCCCCCTGCAGTCCGGCTTCCGTTGCGCCTCCGGGCATTATGGAAATCTCTTGTTGACTTCCACAAATGAGCAAACGCACGAATCCCAGTTCCAGTTCCCGTTTCAGCCCCAGACATATGCAATTCGTGTATCAATATTTACGCGGCTTTGCCCAAATTAATGGCCTCCCTTCCCCCCTGCCTCCATATTTGAGAAACAGATTGAAGGATCCCTACTCCGCCGCATATATGTAGTCTGATCCATGTTTAATAAATATTGTTTTTGGCTCAATTTTCCATAAACGAGCGAAAATTTATTTCTCATTTAATGCACTGACAAATACCATTTGGTTTTTGTTTGAATAAAACTGAAAGATGATTGAGAGTTTACGCAAACTAAATACATAATTAATCGATGTGGAAAATAGTAGAGGAAATGTGGGAGATTGGCGTGGAGGGAGGGGTGAGCAAGAGAGCAGGGGAAACTAGCTAAGCCACACTGGGAGAGAAACTATAATTTATAATGAAGGAAGAAGAGTGTATTCGGAGTTCCTTTGGATTTCCTTTAGAGTACATATATTCGGAGCATAATTGGAGTATTTTCGGAGTACATATTTATTACGTTCGAAGTAAACTCCGAGCGCATTCGGAGTACATTTGGAGTAGATTCTGAGTAAATTCGGAGTATATGTGGAGTATACTCGGAGTATATGCGGGATAAATTCGGAGTACATTTAGAGAACATTTTTGTCACATTCAGGGTAAATTCGGAGTACATTTGGGGCAAATTTTTAGTTTCTTCGCAGTGCATTTGGAGTACAGTATATTCGGAGTAAACTCTGATTAAATTCGAAATAAATTCGTAGTAATATATAGGGAATATATTCGGAGTATATTAGGAATACCTTTGGAGTACATTTGGACTATTATCTAAATAAATTCGAAGTAATTTCGGAGTACTTTCAAAGTACACTTTGAATACTTTTGGAGTAATTAAAATCGAAGTAAAGTTGGAGTACTTCGGAGTATATTTGTAGCACATTCGGAGTACATTCGGATTTCATTTTGAGTTTATTAAGAGTATATTCGGAGTACCTTAGAAGCATATTCGGAGTACATTATTGGTATATTCGGATTAAATTAGAAGTAAATTTAACGAACTTTCAGAGTACATTCAGACTATTTGCGGAGTACTTTGGGAGTACATTTTTAGTATATTCGGAGTAAATACGGAGTACTGTAGGTGCACATTTGCAGTAAATTCGGAATTAACTCGAAGTAAACTATGAGTATTTTCAGTGTACATTCGGAGTAATTTCGGAATTCGCTTAAAGTACATTTTGAATATATTCGGAGCAAACTCGAAGTGCTTTCGGAGTACATTTGTACCATATTCCGAATATTTTGAGTACACTCAGAGTATATTTGTGGTAAATTCGGACTAGATTTGAAATACATGAAAAACACTACATCTATTGCTAAGCTGCACAGGGAAAAAATATATAAAGAAAGCCAACGCAGGGCGGTACAGACCTGCTTTTGCTACCCTTTCAAAAGAAATCCCTTTACCCCCAGGGTTTATAAAGGGTACTACATATGGCCCATGGAAGCCATAATTTTATACAATTGAAAACCTCCCAATCATTTCCATATTGTGTTAACCCGCGCCTTCCATGTTTTTCAGCAGAAATTAAATTTGTGCCCAGCCACGTTTCACCTTTCACTCTTTCCCTGCTTCCCACTTTTCCTGCCACTCTTCAGTTCTCTTCAGTTTATCGAGGGGCTCACACCATTTCATTTGTTGGCATTGGCGTGTATATTGCGTATCTGTGAGGTGTATCTGTGTATTTATAATTTATATGCATTGTCAGCGAGCGCGCAGGTTTGCCATTGACCATCTCTCATGCCAGTGCCCCTGCCCTTTACAGAGTCCGCACGGGGGGGGAAGGCGATTGTTTTATGCGTTTGCACACAGGACACACAGATACAGATACAGCTACAGATGCGGACGCACTCACGCACACATACCAGACGATATTGCATTGTTGCATATTTAGCAATAATAAAATATTTAGTGCCATTTCCATAAATTTATTATCGCCACGTTTTCAGGGGGTAGGCAAGAGTTCTCTCTCTCTCTCTCTCCCTCTGCCTCTCTCTTTGCATTCATTGAACAAACATCGGTTGGATGGAGAGGATTATTTCACATTTTACAGTTTAAATATTGCGTTAAATAAATGTTTGGGGGGCATACGGTGCGTATGATAAATTGTTCAAAAATTTCAATTGCAATTGCGGGCAAGATTGAATTTTTATTTAGTTACTATCCTGCTCCTATCCCTTCCTGGTTTTGTAGGGAATTTCCTTTCCTTCCATCGAATTATTTTGTATTTTCTACTAGAACTTTTCCACTATCCACCCTTCGTTATACTCTTCCCTTAATTGCATTTCCATATAATTCCATGGCTATTCTCACCCTTAAACCACTTCCACCCTTAGCTCTCTCGCCATCCCTCAAGTCCCCTAAAATCTGGTAGTCTGTCGCCTGTTTTCCCGCCCCGCCCCCCAAAAATGACAATCTGCAATGCAAAATGGCCCTGGTCGAATGATAAATTACACACCTTTGCCCAAGGACTGAACAATCAGGTGAGAAGGGGCTGAAGGGGTCAGAGGTCTATTCAGCAATTTGTTGCATTCATGCATTGCGCAAATATTTCCGAGACATTTCAGGCATTTTCTTTATTCAAAACAGAGGCCAAGATCTAAGAGGAATTTATGGCCATATTCTGTGATTGCATGTGGATTCTCGATGGGGATGGGTGAGGGAATCATAAGATGTCTGGGTGGAGTGTAAGGATGTTACAAAAGTCTGCCACTGGAGATTTCCAGAATCATTTTGGAGCGCAGATTCGGGATGTCCTTTTGCGTGAAGTTCAGAGGCTGGCAGCGTGTCACATATTCCGCCGCCATGCAGGCAAAGACCCCGCAGTCGTGAGTGTTCTCCTGCCGTGGCATATCCTCAACAGTTTCCAGCGAAAACTCCTTTATGTCGTATGCCACGTGGCGCTTGTCCATCGACTCTTCTGCCAGGTAAGTCGTGAGGGCTTGTAGCAGCAAATCGTGGCCCCCGCCCAAAGAGTCGTAGTAGCGGATGGTTTTCTCCTTTAAATTGATAATCGTCATGCACCAATGGATGTTTTTAATATTTTCGGGTATCAAGATCATATCATAGCTAAATATATCTATTTTCTTCGTATATCGTCGAACTCCTTTGTAGCCATCCGTCAAAAAGCGTTCGACGAAGAACGTACTAAATGTGTAGACAGTCGGTAAAGGGTTGGATGTGCGGGTTGAGCGTTCGCTGATTAGATCCACATAAAAGTTGATAATCTTATCGTTGAGCCAATCATTTTGAGACTTGAGTATCTTAAGAACCTTCACTTGGATGGGGTTTTTAAATTTGTCGATCACAATCTGAAATATACAGGAATGGTAGGCAATGATGGTTACATCAGGTTCGAGCCTCTCTCTAAACACAAACAAAAACAAAGCAATACCCGATTTCCCACTGAACCGAACCACATTTCTTATTTTCGCTTTGTCTGCTCTGAACGGACATGCATTCTTCCCACAACAACAACTGAAGAGACACAAAATAAAGCTGCCTGCAAATGTGCAGCGAGGGAGCGGCTATCTCTCGAGAAAAAGCAAAACACGAATGACTCCTCGACTAGTAGTCTGTCGAGCCGAAGGCTCAGTGCCGGACCCACACGAAGGCTTTTTGCTTTGGACCGGCAGCGCAGTGGCAGCGCACTTTTCTATTGTAAAACTCCCGATTGCAAGCTCGTTGGTTGGTTTGCTGGGCATATTCATATCCATATATAAACATACACAAATACATATATACAAACTGTGATGGCTTGATGATCAGCTCTTTCGGCTCTTGATTTACGCTCGGCACTACTGAGAGCGCTTTGACGAGATAGAGAAGCACGAAGTTTGCCGAAACACAGAGCCCGTTGCGGCAGCGCAATAACAAAATGAAAGGTGTTTGGTTGTCGTTTGGTTCCGTTCCTCTTTGCATTGCGTTCGTAAATTAATTATTGTTGTTGGTCTGGACCATAAGCAAGCATGCTTGATCGAACATGTCGCAATCGGTAGTAGTATACAGCTCTCTGGTGGGGGAAAAAGGCCATAGACTTACACTCTCTTCATCCGTATGACTGCATATAGAATCTATTTGGATCTGCTGTGCCTCAGTTAACGGAAAAAGCATTGATTTTTCTGCATCACTGAAGAATTATAAAAGAATGGAATTTTTTTCTAACGATAGATTGGATTCACATACTTTTTGTTTAATTTAATTTGCTTTTCTACAACGGCGATTCTTTTCTTTATAGCCAGGATCCTCTTTTTTACATCTAAAACGATGTGAGACTTTATATAATGATGGATTAACACAATTCGGTGGATAAACGTACTTTTTAGCCTTCTGGATATTCCCATTTTTAGTTCCCAGTTCAAATGAGTAAAATGGTAAAAATGAGAGTGAGCACTGTTCAGTCGACTCGACCCGCAGCGATAGAGATGAATGGTTTATTGGAACAGAGATCTCTTCAGGCTGGGCTTCGGTGTACCTGGACATCTTCGGGGGACTCCTGTCCTGTTCTTCAATGTCTTCTTCGCGATCCATTTTGTCTCTCGAGTTCGGCTTTAGATATATCGGATCTGGAAATGAATAAAGGGGGCTTTCTATTTTTCCCTGGACTTGAATTCTCTTAAAAATTTTTCACAAATTTAAAATCGAAATTTATGAGATCTGCCTTCGATTTTGAATATTATTACCGTATACTCCGTATTATTAGAAATAATTGATTTTATGAAATTTCTTTCTATATTTCGTTAAAAATCATGACCTGCTTTTTATTACACGCTTTAAAAAGGGGTCACATCATGACCAGCACTTCCGGTTGACTGCATTTGTCGTTTTCCAACACTACTTTTCCCATACTTCTTCTCTTCTGTTCTATTCCGTTATGTTATCGAATAAACGGCAGTTAAAGTAAATAATCAATGATATTTATTTATTTATTCGAGTAGACTTTATTTTTTTTTGTATTTTTTGTTTTTTGTCCATAAATTCTTGGTAAATGATAATCATAAACAATTTTGTCGCTTTATGGCGATGGGTGGCAGGGCTGATAGCCCCCTCCCCACTACCCATTGGGCAGGGTATTATTGTTGGATGATAAATGTGCTTAGGGCTCGCGCCGAGTGTCAATTGTGTGTTTGCGGATAAATAAAACACAGATTAAACCATATATTATGGTCAGCATCGTGTGCACACACATTTACTTACTGTTGTGGGGAGGGGGGGGGGGGGGGGTTAGGTGCGGAGGGGTGGGCAGGGTTGCTTGTATTAAATTATTTAATTGTAAATTGAAGTTTGTCAAATCAATGCGAAAAATCATTTGATTTGTGGCTTCTGCAGCAAACAGATACCGAAAGATAAATGAGAGTACAATTTTGGATTTATTTCGAATGTTTTTGGAGTAAAAAAAAGGGTGTAGAGGTGGTGCAGGCTGTAGCATCCTTTACAAGGAATTACCTCTAAAGCTTTGCTGAAGAAAAGTAAAGGAAATTCGCTTTCAAAGACTCATAAATTGATTGAACCGGTAAAAGAATTAATTGAAAGAGTGTTGCGCAATTTTTCAAGATAAGTGTTGCACAACTCTAACAAGACAAGTGTTACACAACGTTTTCGCGACCAGTATGGTAAAATACCACACAAATTTGAGTACTTTGGGCACACTAATTTAATTTATTAAAAGAAAAAGAAAATTATTCCTGCTAGCAAAGCATTTTCTGCCTATTAAAGCCATCTGTGATTGATTGGTTGTTGGCTTGATAATCTTTGATAATCAGGCCTTAATCCTGTCCTTCCTTGAACAATAATCCTTAAAGAAACAGAACGAAGCCCTTGGCTTGGTTTTTGCTTCTGTTTTTCGGCCACAATTTGGATGTGAGAACGTTTTAAAGTTTTCGGAACATCAATTGTTGGTCAGAGAGCAGGGTGAGCACGGGCCATCCAATAAGCAGCTCAAGGAAGCAGCGAGGATGTGCCGGAGGAAGAGACGGGAGCCCAGAGATGGATCGGGCCATTGTGGCCTCACTTTTTCGGTCAGGCAGCAGCACGCAGTTCCTTTTGTTAATGATACTCTTGTTGGACATCAGCAAATGTCCCGACAGGAGCATCATCCCCATCATCATCATCATCAGCCAGAAGGGATGTGAAGCCGCCCCCCGACCTCCGCCCTCCACCCGAAAAACATTATAAAAGGGAAGGGAAGCTGCTGCTGCTGCAGGAGATGGTCGGTGCTCAACCATTTTGTGGATTTATTGACATTCTGTGATGTTATTAAAGTTGATTGCCAGAGACTGTGCACGTTTTTGGCTTAGACGAAAGGGCCAACGAGCCGCCTGTGCCCCTGTCGAGCAAGTGCTGCCACTGATACCTCCTATCCCCCCCCAATCCTGTAACTGTTGCACCAATCCAGCAAGTGCTGTCCTGCAATTGCATTCCCTTCCTGCCCCCCCTCTCCCTCTCTCTGTGTGTGTTTGAGGCATCAGAATGCAGCTCAGGCTTTCGGCACACAGAGATACAAACAGAATGCAACCGACGGAGAGCTCACTGCGGTCAATTCGAAAGAAACAATAGCCCCAGCCCCCACCCCCCAGACCCCACAAAAAAGCCAGAGAGGAGGGGAAAAAAAACAAAGATTCAGATGGAAAAATATGAGTGGAAAGGCGGCAGAGAAAGAAGCTTTTAGATACGCTTTCGGGTCTCGACACATGCTTTCTATGGCAGCGGAAGAAGAGGATCTTGGAAGGGTATCAAAAGGGCCTACCCTTCCTTTTCATGGTGGCTTTGGTAAGAGCGTACCTTTGGAGTAGAAATCGTTTGAGGAGATGCCGCATCATCATCATCATCAAGTCTAATATGCGCATTATTGGTTTTGTCCTGCCTTTGGATGCTCCCATTCTGATCCCGTGCCTTTGTGCTTGTGCTGCAGTTATCCTTAATATCCCTTGCATGTTAATACGCTTATCCTGTCCTGGCAGTCCTGGCAAAAGGACTCGTCCTCTCCTGCACACACTCGAAATGCAAATATCAAATGCAAATTCTAGTATGTCGCAATATTAAAATTTACAGAAGAGAAACCCAGAAACCAGAAATGAAAAATGCTCCCGTTCTGCCGTGCTGCCGCCGCCTACGCACAGAACCAAAATCCTTTTGATCTCATTTTTTTAATTTAGGATTTAATTTGGTTTCCAGGCGCCTTGTCTGAGGGGCAACACATGGCGTATACTTGATATTAATACGCAGTCAACTCCTCCTCCCCCCAATTTTCTCCGTTAAACTTATTAAAATATAAATTTATATACAAAATGTATCCCAATTTTCTTTCGTTTTCGTCGGTTATTGTTTGTTGCATATTAAATTTTGAGGTACATTTTGTACGAGTATATTCCAATTTTATTTCATTCTTTTTGCGGCTTTTGCGGCTGCTTTTGCGTGGGCTTTCCACACTTTGTGTGGGTGGAAAATTAAATGAAATAAGTTTTATTAGTAAAATACAAAATTAAAGATATTTCGTGTGGTTTGAGAAACAGAATTTTGGATGTTTCATATTTTTGGAATGACTTTTTAAATCTTCTGCTATTATTTAATATATTATTTTTAACACTTTTAAATATTTTTTTTATTTTTTTTTGTTATAATTTTTGTTTTTGAATTATTTTAAGTTTTATATCTTCAAGATTAGGTAATTAAAATTTTTTTTAGATATTGCATTTTTTTTTAATCTTCATATATAAAAATTAAACTAAGAAAATTGTTTGAATTTTTGTTAAGTCTCTGCCATTTTTCAACGTTGTATTCAAGTTTTATATCTACAATTTTAGATATTTTATTTATTTTATTTTAGATATTGATTTTTTTTTTAATATTTAATATTAATATTTTTATATTTTTCTTATTCAATATTTTATTTTGAATTAAAAATTTGAACTGTGTTATTTTTTACAATACTTTTTTTAAAACTCTGGAATTTCTCAATGTTTTATTTTAAATTTTATATCTGCACTATTAGATATTTTTTAAAATTATTTATAAAAGAATTCTTTCTTAAATCTATTTCTATTGTTGAATGTAGCATTCAAATTTTTAAATTTAGTTGAGTTTTTAATTTAATTGAGATTTTATTATATTTTTTTGTATGTAATTTGTGTTTGAATATAAAATATTATCTTTGTTTTTGTATTTTTTAGTAAATAATTTTCCAGCTTTTAGCTGTGAAAATTTCTTGAATAATTTTTTAAAATCTATTGCTCTTGAATATATATTTTTTTTAAATATTTCATCTTAAATATTCTTTTTTTTTATAAATAATTTTTCAACATTTTTTAAAAGTTTTAAGTAGAATTGTTTATGCTATTTTTAAATATTTTCTATTTATAAATTTTCCATATCTTATGTTCTGGTTTTCATTAATATCTGCCCATATTTTGTTATATTTATCTTCCCAGAAGTCTCGGTTTCCCACAGCCCGTTTTTCTTGTAAGTAATTTCCACAGATTTCCTCGCTTTTCCATATCGCTTTTACACAGACATTTTCGCGCAGTTTGTCAACATGAAAAGGTTAACAAGGTAAATAAAGCCCGGCCAAAAGGTAGCCGAAGAGAGACAGAGAGAGAGAGAGTGAGTGAGGGAGATGGGGTAGCAAAAGTTAGCAAAGGATACAAAAAGAAAGCATGCAAAAATCAAGAAATAAGGCCCACAAACAATGTGCCCAAAAAGAGAGCGGGGCCCATGCAAATCCTTGTACAAAAGGGGGGTTGGGGGGGACTTCTGGTGTGTGGCCCAAACAGGAAAGTGGCTACACGAGGTGGCCACAGGAGGGGCTAGGGGGGGTGCTTTCGGGAACGGTTTTTGGGGGTACGTTCTGTGTGTGAATAACAACATTTTAAACATGTTTGCCTTTTGGTTTTTTGTTTTTTTTTTGTTTGGTTGCACCCCACGCGCTCCTTTACGTTTATGCAATTTATTTCCACCGTGTTCTTCTTCGCGCTCTTGTATCTGTCTCTCTTGCTCTTGATGCTCTTTTTGTGTGTGTGTGTGTGTTGTATTCTGTTCTGCTCCTCGGTTACAAAGCATGCCCCGCGGCTGTCCAATGTATAATCTTTTGCTTGTCTTTTGAGAGGGAGAGAGAGAGGAAAGGAGAGGTGAGGAGAGGCTGGGCTGATGCTGAAGTTGAACTCTTGACTGTCAGCCCTGCCCATCGCCACACAACACAGAAAAAAGAGGTTAAGGGGTCTGGGAAGCAGAGAGGAGGGCCTGGAAGCCGGAGAGTGGGGGTCTGGGAGCTAGAGAGGAGGGCCTGGGAACCAGAGAGTAGGTCCTGGTTCAAGATCAAGGAGTATAGGTTGTGCTGGGAACAGGACAGGAAAGTAGTACTCAAATTTGATGGAAAAACACACAGTGGATGGAAAAACGCTAGTGGAGCAAAAATTATGTAGAGTTCACAGGAACCTCTAAAAAGGTTCTCCCCATACGTCATCTTTTGGGTAGAGTATCCATACAAAGCCCTGCTTTCCCTTGAACTTTGACTTCCTCTGTTTTTTGTGCACTGGCAATTTTTCTCCAACATTCTTTTGTCGGTTGGAAAGGTGGAAGTCGCACAGCTTGAGGCACCAGAGACCTTAAAGTCCTTAAACGAAGAGAAGTTTAGGCAGCCCCATCGACAATTTTTAGCCTGAACTTTAACATAGTTGCCGAAAAGTTTAAAGCCCCGGAATGGCATCCATGCCCATCCTTGCCCCCCCACCCCTTTTCGCCCCTTTGCTCTCTGTGGCATGTTTCCTGTTCTTGCCCCCTGCTTGCTTATGCAACTCAAGTCGCCACGCTTGACACATTTCTCCAGAGAGAGAGAGAGAGAGCTACCCGCCCGCACGTGCCGCCCGTGCTGCCCGTGCCTCATGTGCCATCTCCTGTTGCGAGTAGCAGTCGTCCAGCTGCCACAGGAGCAAGCAACTTGTCAACGCAGTCATCAATGTCGGCCGTGACAGCATCACAGGCATCCCATCGCCTCGCAGCGCCTGTAACTATGCCAAGCTTTTGCAATGTTCGCACATTTAGTACTCACCCCCCCACCCCCTCGCCACACAGACGTGTTGCATGCCCCCACACTGTGAGCGTGTGTGTGTGTGTGTAGGTTACTGTGCCAGTGACCATCATAAATGGCAGAGAGTCGAAGGACGAGGACAAGAGAGCGACTGCTAACCAATATTAATGAGCATTTGCTGTGTCCATCGGAAAATTGAAAATAATATGCGTCCCATAAAAAATGATGAAACAATCTTGTAACCTTATGACCCCAAAAAAAAATAGATGCCAAAAGGGGGAACGATTATGGCTAGTGGCCCTGGAGAAGGGCTTTAAGCGGCTCAGGGAAAATACAAGATACAAAATATAATCATGCAAAGAATATATCAAATATTTTGTATCCAATGTTTGTGTATAATTTATTTAATTATTTTTTTAATATCTAAAAAATAAATTGCCTAAGGTAAGAACTTAATGGACGATTTATAATATTTTGTATCTTGTATTTATGCGAAGTCAACGAAATTAAGTTAATTAAAAATTAAAAATTTTAAATTTATTTTAATTTAATTGATTCTATTTTCTGGGATAAGCTGTAGGCAAACTAAATTGTTTTAAGGAATACGGAATTTTAGTGAATATTTCTGTTATTTCTGCATTTATTTTCCTATACAAAAAATTAAGAAAATTTAATTAAAAAAATTAATTATAAATTAAGAACTCTTTTTTATATTTAGTAATTTATAATTATAATAATTAGGATATGGAAAAAGCTATATTTAATATTTGAAAAGCCTTTGCGAAACCCAATTGAAATCCCCTTCCCGTCATGTAATACCCATAGAAAGCCTTTTAAATCCTTTACTATCGAAGGGGCATCACGCCACAAGCTTTAAAAAAAGGGTGCCTCATCCATTAATCAAAGCCCAGTGCCTGGCCGGCTCTTGACCCAGTTTTCCCTCTTTTTTTTTTTTAGAAATATTTACGTTAAAGCTTTTGCCGTAAAAAAAGTTCTCCAAACGAACTTTTGGAGCTGAAAACTTTTAAGGTTTTTTTGGAATGTTGTAAAACACTTTTATGTGCTCCAAAAATTCCAACTGAAAGGTGTGTCTAAAAAACAAAAGTATCTTTTGTAATTATCTCTCACTTGCGCCCCACCCTCTCTAGAGTCCTTGCCCCCTCTTTCTCGCACTCTTCCTTAATCATATGCGTGATTTAATATGATTATTGTCGTTTGGATTGTAAAAAAAAAAAAAAACCCAGAGCAAAACTTTGCCAACTGTGTGTGCAGCACGTGCTGCTGTGCCCCCTCCCCCCCCCCCCCCCCCCCCCCCCCCCCCCCCCCCCCCCCCCCTTTTGGCCCTGCCTAAGGCGACAAATAAAGTTGTGAATGAGTCACCACGAAAACCTTAACGTCACGTGCACGAAAACTTTCTTAATTTAAAAGAAATTTTCCAAACAAACTCAATTAAATAATTTTCTGGGAAGACCAAAAAAAAAATAATTTAAAGACAGGAGTTTTGTGGGGTCTTGTCTATTTTTAATCCAAAAATGTTAGACGTACTCCTTGTGGCAAGCATTTTGCTGGGACGCCACTTTTAATGCCACAAAATTTTTAATTGAGCTAATCCTAAAAACCACATGCTGCTGCTGGCTAACGAGCCAGATGTCAGCTGTGGCACACACATGTTGCACCCCCCCCTGGGTGGCAGTGCAGTGCAGTCAAAAGGCATTAGACTGTAGCTAATGATAATTGCCTTGGCTCGAAAAGATTAACCAAAGTTGGCTGCACGACAAAAGTAGACAGGAAAAAGTTGAAAACTCTCACAGAAAACGGAAACAACTCTCATCAAACAAAATGGATCCCGAGCAAGCATTCCTCACTCAAAGGAACCTGGTGGCGGATACCATGAAGTATCTAGACGACATGGCCAATGCCAATAAACAGGCAGAGTAAACCCCCACAAATATTCAGTAGATATTTCCCCGCTTTAAGAGCACTTTTTTCCGTTTAGACGCGGTAAAGATACCAAGGACCAGGAGGTGGACATTTCCGATGGAGTGACGGACGACAACTATTTGGTGTCGGCCCGCGCCCAGCGCCCCCAAAGATCCCAACAGCGTTCCACTAAAAAGATACACAAGACCTCGAATCTCAATCAGATGTCCTTTATGCGGCAGATTGATGTGACGCGCGAGGAGCGGCTGGTGGCGCGTGAGGAACGACATTTGGTGGCTGAGAATTTTCGCAGGTAGGCCGGTCACATCATAAATCGTTTTGTTGGCCAGAAGATGTCTCTCTTACCAACAGAATGGGCAACGACGAGTACCGCAAGTGCAACTTCGACAAGGCCATATATTTTTACACCAAGGGTCTGCAATATGTGACCGATACCCCAGTGCTCTATTGCAATCGTGCCCTGGCCAAGATCAAGTAGGTCTAACCCCCCAAAAAAGGACAGCTTACAGTCTTAATTTTCTCCTTAAGAAAAAGGGAATTCAAGGCTGCCCTCCTCGATCTGGATACGGTGGTCTTTAAGCTGGATCCTCGCCATATGAGGGGCTGGCTCTACAGGGCTGGCGCCCTGGCGCGCCTCAACAACGAACTCGAGTCCCAGGTGGCCATCCGCAATGCGTTTATCTTCAACAGGGATCCCAAGGATCAGCGCTACATTCAAATGTTTGTGGAAAAAATGCGCTCCGAGTTTTAGAAAAATTTTTACTCTTTTTTTTATTGTTTATTTTTTATTTTTAATTGTATTTTGTTGGTTTTTTTTGGTAGGGGAAATTCGCTGTTAAAAAAAAGGGAATACCGTATTCAATCAAATGCCAATCGAAATCGTTTCATTTAACCGTAATGTCAGTTGCAATCCGCACAAAACTCTGTTTCTGCTGCTGCAACGTTTCATAAACACAAAAATTTAAATGGAAAAAATTGTCTAAAAAAATATATGGAAAATGTTTGTGCTCTCTGCCGTTTTCTGATGAAATTTACAATTTTTAGACACTGCCTGTAGAGGGTATGAGGGTCTTTCGTAGGGTGTTTGGATCATCAATTGATTTTTTTTTTGGGGGAGAGTATGTCTGAAATCAGGATGAGATTTTTTATTAAAATTACAAAAATATATTTAATATAATAATAAATATAATGTAAAAAAAAATATATAAAAATGAAATTAATGAATTAAAAATTAATAAAAAAAAATATAATTAATTATTATTTGGCGAATTCTGACGATTAATGGTCGAATCGGCGTGGATTAAAACTATATTTCTTAAAAAATTAATTTTTGTGTGAAAATTAGGATTATTTCAGATTAAAAATTAAAAGAAAATTTTTTAATTCCGTGCCTTCTGTACATAAAACCCATAAGATTATAACCTATAAAAAATATAGTTTTTTTCCCAAAAAAAAGTGTATCTCAAGCAACGACCAGTGCCATTTGGAGAGCGCATCCTTTTCTTGTTTTGCATAAATTCAATAAAAATTCCTATTGTCATGAGAATATTTGCCAATACAATATACAGGAGGAGTGGAAGCCCCACTCCAACTTTCAAGCGGTGGGGGGGAGGGGGAGGGTCCAAGAGCCACTTATACGCTTCGTTGGGGAGCAGGCACCAGAACCGGCAACCGCCCCTTGCATCGACCACAAAAGACTGACACTGCGGCTACAAATGCGGGGCAAATGGAAATTGCAGGCGTGAGGAGAATCTACTGGGAATGAGAATGGGAGAATAGGAGCGAGAGCTTTCAATATGGCGCCAACACCATTTGCATTTGCCCCACAGCCGCCATGCCGCACCATCCGCTTCCTGTTGCCTCCTGCTGTCTCCCGCCGCCTCCTACTGCCTCTCACTGCCTCCTCCTGCATCCTGGTGCTTCCCACTGCCTCTTACTGCCTCCTACTACCTCCCACTGCCTCCTCTTACCTCCTACTGCCTCCCACAGCCTCCTTCTACCTCCTCCTACCACCCACTGCCTCCTGCTAGCCATCCACAAGCAGTCGTCGTCCTCACTCCATAATGAAATGCAGTTCAAATGCTTGGGGTATAAACTTTTGCCACAACAGGCTTGCAACCAGTCGGGGCATTTGCTGGTGTTGTAAACTAGCAAACAAAACGCAACGGAAGTGCCACAAAAAGGGTTTCACTGTTTGTCAATTGTGTGTGCCACAGCGGCAGCAGCGGCGGCCGCAGAGTTGACACCTAAACCAATTCCCGCAAAGCCCCCCTGACCCCACTGCCTGGGCCCCAACAATCCCTTGGCACTACTGACACGCTAACTGACTGCCAACTTTCCGGCTCTCTGGCTGGGATGCTGCCTTGAGAAATGCAAAAATGTTTGCGGCTTGCTGCGGCTCTAATCAACACTGCCTCAGACCCAGTGGCCCCTCTGCCCCTCTCTGGCCAACGCCCATTGCTTGTAATCAATGCTGTAAACACTTATTTTTGTGGTTGTCACCGAACACAGATCCAAACTACAATTTGTACCACGAGAGACACACACGAGCAAAGTTTTTGGCTCTCGTCCTTTGACATTGTATGGAGGAGGATTTTCTCCTCTGTGTGTGCCACAGTTTTTGTGGTCAGAGAGGATTTTGGTCTGGCATAAGGTGGGGCTTTAATGGCTGCCCAAAAGGCAAATGATTATTGGAAAAACCCACAAAGTTTTTTACGCAGGACTTTAAGAGAGAAAACTTGTCTACAGGGAATGGGGAAAATCTTCGTAGAGAGATTTTTTTATAGAGAGGTTTTTTTTAAAGAGAGTTTTTGGTTGGAATGTTGGAGAGTTTTTAAAAGATTTATGTAAGTTCTGGGGGGTTTTTGGGATGTGGGAATCTGTGGTATTTGATTTTTTGGAGATACTTCAAGGATTTTGGAGTTTTTTGGAGGTAAAGGTAGTAGTGGAACCATTTTGGGGAGGAATAAATGAAGTTTTTATAATTATTCGATAGGTTAAAACCTTATAAAAGTCTTATTTTTTTTAATAATTGATTTTTTTATTTTTAATAATACATATTGTTGTTTGCTATTACTTTTGGCTTATAAAAGTCCCTTTCGAGTCGTGCATCGATTGTTTTTGCTTGTCTCGGGACGAATGACTGTTTGTATTTCGTTTTTGGATTCATGGGACCGAAAACGTGCATTCTCTTAAGCACTTTTCGCCAGCAATAGGCCACATTCCTGCACCTAAAATCGTACCTTCTCAGAGCTCCCAGGAACTCCTTTGATTTCCCTCTTTCCTTTAAAACTATAGCCCCCAAAATGTGCCCCATTTCAGCCTTAAATCATTCCAATCAAACCTCATTGCCTGCCACTTTATTCAGGCTTATATTCCTGTTGGGGGATCGGTTATAGGCTGTATACCTCCCCCCCCCCCCCCCCAGACCAAAGTAAAGTGTCCGCCATAACCCTCTAACACTTTGGAGACCAGTAGATCTTTATAAATCACACACCACACAGCCATCACACCGCACCAGAAAGAGAGCCAATCACCAATCGACTGCCGCCCTCCGCCCCGCCCCTCGCCCATTTCTGAGGTATCCCAGGGGCAGGCTTCCTATCAACTGCTGTGGAAGTTTTCCCCGAAGGATCTCGAAAACTACAACTTGGTCTTGCCCCTCCCCGCCCCGCCCTGCCCTGCTGAAGTTTGTTGTTTGTCCGATGGTTTTCAAGTTGCGGTCTTTGTGGTTATGGGCTGCTTCTTGGCCAGAAAGTAATTTGGCCTTTATCTGTATTGCGGTTTGAACAGAGAGCAGGCGGCAACATCTTTTGCTTTTGCTTTTGCTTTTGGGTAATATTTTTGTTGGTTTTAGCAGCAGCGGCAGCATCTTTGTTCTACCACATCCGGGGAGTCATTTTGGGTTTGAGTTTTCTTTGCTTTCTGGTTTGAGGGTAAATTGCAATCCCCTTTCCCTCTCCCTCTCCCTCTCCGCCCTCCACTGCGACTGCCACTGATATGGCCGAAAACTTTTCAGTTTTCGTTGCCTTGTTTTTGTTGCCATTTTGCCTGACATTTGCCCCCCGCCCAAGTTTTTCATTAAACGGCGGGAAATATTTTGGTTATTTTTTGTTGTGTGTTTTGCATCGCTGACACTCGCTGTCATTCTGTTTTGGCCCTGGCTGGCAGTTCATTTAAAGTTTATCCTGGCTGCCCGTTTAATTAGCATTTTGAGGTTCTATCTATCCGGGGGTTTTCTATCTCCCGGATTGACACTTCTTTCTGTTTTTTTTTTTGCCTGTTGGCCTTATTGAATGTTTATTTGCAGCTTTGCTTGATTTCGATTTTCTCAACGACTGGGCAAAGGAATTTCCAAAGCAAACAAACACTGCAGCCGGAGCCCAAGAAGGGACTTGAAGTTGACGTGACTCTACATAAAATATAAAAAAAGATACAAAAAGGAAGTCAACGGCGAGGAAAACTCTCGGGGGGGACTGGCTGGAGGCTGGAGATGACTTGGCATCAGACAAAGAGCACGGGGCAGACACACTAGACTTGGGGACTCTGGAGGTGGCAGTGGCAGTGGGGGCCACGGGGCAGTCAGTGCTTGAGAGTCTCTGTTGAGTGAATTAGCAATTGGCAACCTGCTGAGGCGGCGACTGAGACTGGTCTGAGTGAAACACTGAAAGAAAAAGGGGATTTTTGTGTTTAAATACGCTCATTCTATCAATAATCAGTGTCAAAAAAAACGAGGGGTTGTCTATAAGAGAAGGATTGGACTTGATTTGGAGATATTTTGGAGTAGAAAAGGATAGATTAGATAGATAAAAAGATAGATTTAGAGCTTAGATAATATTAGATATTAATTTTCAGCTGAGAAAATTCATTCAAATATTCTCATTTAATTTTATTAATTGTTATTTTTTAATTTTTTTAAATATTTTTTTTATTTTAATTTATTTATTTAAAAAGTTGAATAAACTATAATAATAATTTAATTGTATCACTTCTTTGTCCGCAAATCACATAAAATAAAATAATTATTATTTATTACTTATTTAATTTTTTTAAATAATTTATTTAAATTTTTTAAGTTTTTAAAATTGTTGTTAATTAAAAAAATTGATAATAATCTAATTTTATAATTTCTCTGAGCGCTAATTAGGGAGATTTTAAATTATTTTGAATTTAATTATATATATTTTTTTTAGCATCATTTTAAATATAAATATTTTTTTATACATCTATTTATTAAAATCAAATTTTAACTGCAGTCCCAATAATTATTTGATTTTATTTATATTTTATTTATTTATTATTATTATTATTTTTTTTTATTTGTAAAAATTCAGTCTAAAAAAAATCTTTTTAAATCTTAAGAAATCTAAATTTAAGTCTCAGAATTCTCTAATATTCTAAGCGTCATAATTAAGAATAATCTCTTCTTCCAAAATATTCTCAACTTTAGTCTCCTGTCGTGCAGTATCTTTTCCCTTGTTTTCTACGAATGTAGATCTCTTTTTTAATTACAGTTCGTTTCCTCCCTTACAACGTCTTTCCTCTGTGTATTCTGCAATCTATTGCTTCCGCCAACACTCACCCCACCCCACACCACCCCACAGCCCCTGCACTACCTAAGGAAATATATTCACGTTGCTTTTTCATTATTCATGACAACTTTTGCTCTTGGCCTTAGGTAGTACTCGCGCTGTAACTGAAGTCGAAAGCAAATAACAGATACAGATACGGAAACGGGGCACACACGTGGCA